GTTTTCGATTTGTTCAAATTATTGTTTAAGCATCTCGATTCGATTGGGGGCGTTATCCTAATAATATCCAAATAAGATTTGTTTACCTCGTCCAACAAGCCCTTGATAATAGAAGTTATAGGGCCATCGAGGCATTCTCAATACTATCAAAGAATAACCAAAGGCCAGGCCAATTTCTCATGAGGTTAATATATCCGACTATACCCAGATAACATTCGCCGTGGGCAAGCTTTGCAACCAAGAGACCATCCTATTCGGGTTCAGATTTATTAGTGATTATTGGAACAAAATTATATTAATAGAAAGAAAGGTTCACTAAAAGCATGTTAGCGCGAGACAACATTTATACAAGGAGTCCCATTAATGAATTTCCAACATTTTACTATCAATTCCTTGTAGTTTTTATCTGTAAGGACATATGAAATATTTATTGTAGAAAACAGAAGTTCAGCTGGTTGAAAAGTTACATGAAATAACTGAACTCGCATCAGGAACAATTCGCTAGTGAGAAAAATTACTAATACCGTGTACCGAAAATTGGATATTCCAGAGCACAATTCTGTATTCAGGAAAATGATGACAGTTTGGAGCATTTTTATAATTTTATATTTGCCATATTCGCTTACTCATTCAATAGTTGGAGAGAAGGTAACTCGTCAAACAAGAATGACATATTAATTATTTAATTATTGCTTAACCAAAATCTGTAGAGCCAAATTGTAGCACACACAAGATGTACAGCTAAGCGTACAAGACAAATATCTCAAATATTCCTAAACATTTGTCATTTTTTTACGAATATGGTTTAATAATGTTGGTAGTGGTGTTCGTACATTGAGGAAGATTCGTTTTCTTTAATATGCCTATTTCATCACATCATTCATTTGTTGAATAGTCCAAACAGTGTGCCAATTGTATAATGTTTCGCAGCGAAAACATGTTTTTGAATGTATCAACATGCAGCATCCACATGATAAGCTGTGTGTTTACATTTGGCAAATAAGAGAACTCCGATAAATCTACACACATAATCGCATTTTCTATCACTCAGTCGTCGATGCCCTACTGCATTTGTTTACATTTGACAAATATTTGGCAGGTGACCGCAACATCTAGAAATGTATTAAGAATGTTTATACAACAGTAATATTATTAAACATTGTAAATAACAAAAAACATCTATATTTATATGTTTTTTTAATGTGAAATTATAATTGTATGCACCACAGACCACCTAGACTGGCCGTATCTAATTCCAATGCACGGGTACCAGTGAATGCAAAATCCGGGGAAGTGGAGTGTGGAAGGCAATCTGATTGCGCGCATCTTTAGGCAGATCCGGATTAAGTAAATTTTTATTACATAATAAATATTATATTGCATCTTATGACAAATATTCAATTTTAAGTTTGTAATTCAGAAAATAGTATATTTTAGTGTCATATTAAATAAAACTACAAAATAATTTAAATATATTTATTATCCTCTAAATAATATTAATTTATTTAATATTTGTCTTTTCGTAGATTTTACCGAATTAAATAATTTGACTTCATGATTTATTCGTACATTGATATACTTTTCACATTCAGCCCTTACAAGTTCTATTAAATGATTACAATTGTTAGGCAAATTATCAAATTGATGTTCATGCAAATTTTCAAATATGTTCCCATTCAGAAAGTTTTTTAATACATGATAAACAATTTTATTTTTCTGTAGCATAGGTGTTCTGCTTTCATCATTATTTAAAAATTTTATTAATTTTTCTGTTTCTTAGCATATTACACGACATCTCGAGATGGATACGTCAAACAACCACGATCTTTAATAAAAATTAATTTTCAATTAAAAAAAATATTTAATCTCGAAATGACGGGTATTGGTAAAATTTCATAAAAATTTAAGACTCACATAAAGTAAATAATTACTAAAAATATTTTACAGTAATTCATTCATTATTTTATAATAACAATATCACGTTAATCACTACACTATGTGGGCGAACAATATTATAAAGCTAACCCTGGAAACTTGTGACGTTAACCGAAAAATGGCGTACATATTTACCTTTTATATATTCCTTTTTTTACTTACCTAAAGAAGGAAACTTTTCGCCTCTCTTCACCAACTCGATCACTTTTATTTATACAATGTTTTACAATACACTTGCCCATGATAAATCGTCTAATTATCGAAATCTCAGCGATGTGTACATGTCAAATGCTAGGACACGACTGAGCGCTAGGCTCCAAATCAGGCTCCTTAGTGTTTTCACCAAAGTCGCTCTATAAGCCAGTCTAGGTGGTCTATGGTATGCACCAACAGAAACTGATGCGTTTTTAATGATTACACACCTAAAACAATCGATCTTGTTCATGACCGAAACAAATAATTGTTGGATACTGAAAAATTCAACTATTCTAAAAATTTTAAATTGTGAACGTTTCTTATACTGTTTCATTTTGATATAAATATGCAGCTCTTAAAAATATAAACCCACTTCAAAAACACCCTGTGTCACATGATACTAGGTATTTTACCTACCCATATAGAAAACGGTTTGTTTAATACAGTTTGTTACATGGAATAATTACTTCAGCAACTTCAGTACAATGATCCATAACTGTTGATTTCGTTTCTACACGCTTGGGTATAATTGTTGATGATCCATTATTAATGACGCATCTTGGCATTTTATGCAGAATTGAAATTAGATTACGGATAGTTGGCGGAAAAATTGCACTCTACATTCGATTATTCTTAAGATTCACATACGTTTTTATTAAATCCGGTTATTTCGGGTAAAATATTATTGGTTCCTATATATTAACTTAATATTTTAATTTTTCTTTTTCAGTAATATAAAAAGTATGTCCTTTAGTTATTAAAAATAAGATATTTAAATAGCTCGTTGCCACAAAACACGTTTAGTCAACACCTGTCAAACTAAAGTGGTCCGTAATCTTCTCAACCACATGTACACAACTGAAACTCATAAATATACCTACTACAAATATTAATTTGGAACATAACTGACTTATTAAACATTAATTAATAAAAAATAGATTGCGATACACAAATACAAATAATGAAATAAGATTTGAAGTGCGAACTTTTTACTTTGATTTTGTACAAATTTGTATTAAATAAAATAAGGAGAAGAAGTCCTTAAACATTTTCTGACGTATTGTCAAAAAGAATGCTTATTTATTTCATTTTTCATATAAAAAATTAAAGTTTTAAGAGTTTTGTATAACACCGGCAATACTGCGTATTTGATCTCCGGTTCATTATAGATAAATTATGTTTATGGTGTTTACGCATAATATACCTAATTATGGGTAAATACCAGTAAAGTCAGTGGTTCCTAATAAGTTTTCTATTAAAAAATAATGCATGTTTATTTTATATTCGACCTTTTTTTGTACTTACTTTTTCATAAACAAATCATTATAAAATCGGGTGGGTAATATAAAGAATTATCCCAATATAAATAGGTAAGTGATTATTATGGAATACCCTATTATTTTTTTGTCAATATTTTAGAAACTATATTTATTTAAAAATCAATTATTATTCATGCTTCACTGCTTGAAAGTTTGATAATTAACTTGAAATATGTAAGGTATGGCAAAGATATATAGATAATTGTTTCGTTATTTAAAGAGAAAAGAAATACATAATTCATTATTGTCTTCTCAAAAAACGGAAGGGTAATCTGAATTACTTATGGTACCAGTATGGAATATAAGAAAATATAGAAAACTGGCACATATATTATATCAGTTGCTGAAAAAGTGTTGTACAAAGTTGGTTAAAGAATATCTAAGTAACTGTACCAGGTTTCAAAAAATTATATTCCGTATTAACAGCTAATGGTTATTTTTGTTTAGTTTCCATAAATCTTTACCATTGTAGTTGTTTTTTCAAATAAGGACATTTATTAAAATCATCAGCATAGGAAAAACATCAAATGAAACAATTTGAATAAAAATTATTAATATTTTACAAATCAGTCCATGGAAATATCTCATGATAAAGCAAGGCATACACACATAGCTTCGTCTGTGACTGTGAAATATACAGAAAAATCTTTCATATAAATTGAAAATAAAATAAATTGAAGACAAAAATGTATTTTTATGCACTGGAACAAAAAACTTTCCTCTTTGTTTATTTAACCGCAATCTTTCTTTAAATTTTACCAGATTTTACAGTAGTATAGCGATGAACGATATAACAATCAAAAACAGAGGAGCAATACACGAAAAAGTCATACTTTATGCATGGAAACAATTTATATTAATGTCATGCTCATAGTCGTTTCTTAAAAGATATCAAAATCGGTAAAATTGGATTATTTCAGAAGATACATGTCCCTATTAAAATAACTATTGGAATCAAGACGATTTATCTTGAGTGGATGAGTAAACTGTTCTGAAATTCGTAGATTTAGAGCCAATTATTATATGTATAAAGCTAAATAAATTTTAAATTTGAAAAAAAGTTGAAATCTGTCCTTATAATGACATTAAATCTTCTTTAAATTTTAAAGCGTCTTAGAATTGCATTTGAAATTAGCCCCTGGATTTCCCGCATCTACAATCTGACTGGTACTCAGCGATTTACAGTTAATTTCACAACTTTTAACCCTCATAGCCTTAAATCGACCTGTATGTATACGCCCTGCTATATATTCATAAGAAATTTTGAGAATAGCAAATTGTTTTAACTAAAACCCATATATTTTAAGTATTTTACAGTAGGGTGACGCTAACGTTTTTACAGAACTACTTGTTCCGTCTGCACTTACGAACCTAATGCTGAAAATTGAACTCGAAAGCATACAGTCATCAATTTGAGCTGACGCCTGATATTTTTGCTCCATTTGCCCCTAATTTTGGTTTCCTTCAAATTTGGATGTGCCGCATTCGTGTGGCACCCAGGAAGCCGCTTTGGCGCGACCGTGACTAATTGCTGATTTGGTTTCTTTGCAGGTCCAGCGGTGGCGCCGTGACAATGTTGCAGATTACTGAGGACACTCCACCTGACATGTTGGCCGGGGCCATGGACCTTACGGTTCACCTTCCGACAGGCCGGGCGGTGAAAATGGCAGTAGAAAGGAGGTAAGCGGTGCTACTATAACGCGCTGTTATTCACGAATCACTCGGAACTAATGGGGTTTCCCATATTTCCATTACTTTACATATTGCGAAATTTCTAACGATTTCCCATAGGTTTCGAAATTACTTCAGGTATTATGACTCAATTTTCCAATACTCGGTGTCTTAGAACTCGGTGAGATGTTACATTAAAAAAAGATGGTTTACTGTGTTGTGTTCAATAATTTACATTTTTGTGTCTATTAATTTAATAAGAAAACAATTTAAGTCGGTTCAGAAATAATTTGTTAATTGTGGTGCATTATTTTGAATTAATTTTTATTCATTCATTTCAGATTTTCATAAAAAATATTATCTAAGCAATAATTGTAGATAGAAAATTGTAATTCTCGAGAACATTTTGTCAATTTAGTATTAGCATTAGTTTTTCGCACTACACTACAGAACTTTCACAAAAAGAAAACACAATTAAAAGAATCTAGAAAAATAAATTACTTCAGTTAAATGTTGGTTTATTAATAATTTTCACAATAAAATACATTTCCGTAATGAAAGTAGTAGAACTGATTATTACCTAAAATTGAACTAGCAATTTTTCTCTTCAATAGAAAAGACGTACACAAAAACGAGTAATACACTATTTATTCCAACCACACCACCACCACAACTATTCACCTTGCTTTATGTAGTATGTAACTCGGGGACGATTCCAGAAATTTCCAATATGAGATAACAATTATGATTATTATTAATTTTATGCACTGTCTTACAGTTTAATACATTCTACCTCATACTAAAGTATCCTCTCCAAGTTTGTTAAGACCCCTGTGTATACATCCATTACACCAATCATGTTTAGTAGTGCGTTTATTTTTATTCAAAGTCAACTCTGCCTCTTTTTAATTTAGAAAAACAGAAATTTTATTTTACTCTTTGCAATAAGTACGACAAATTTTATGTATTTGGAAAACACTGAACACCTTTGTTTTAACTAAGCAATGGCCAACTACATTTTCCGTTATAAAAATGTAACCTTTTATCTGTAAATTGAAAACCATTATAAAAAATTGAATGCTGCACTAGAGTTACTCCTTTCCCCACATACAAGGAAGGTAGGAGGGAGACTAATTTTAGCACTAATATTTTCTCTATGGAATGACTAAATTATGATAATGGACATTTTTTCGTCCAGTGCCTGTTTTTCGAGATATTTGAAAATTTTAGGTTAAAAAAATCACCCGATATATGTATATAAAGAACTGAAAAACATCATCAAAAATTTGTTTTCGCCTAAAGATTTCTATAAAAAAAAAGTCCAAAGTTCACGAAACTGAAATTCACTATATATTGTTTAAAAGTTGTTCTTTATTTGTTGAAAAAAGAAGTAATTTTTTTGGGGGATTGCAGTATTATGGAAATTGAAAAATTATTCTTAATTATAACTATACTCAACACATTTATTTTAGACACAATGTTATCAAGACAGTTATTTTCATATTCTCTTTAATACAAAAAACAATTATCTACAATGCTTTATTTAATTTTCTCAAAGTATTTTTAAACTTACAGAAATAATTGAATTTTATAGGAAAATTGCATTTATTAAGACATGAAATAGTTAGTTATTAAATTAATATTAAAACACCATGCTACTATAAATGTAAAGAAACAAGAAACCCATATGCGTTTAAATTTTGAATCCTGCACCTACATTAGATATAATGTTTTATGGGTTTATATGTCTGAATAATAATGAAATTTAATTTTAACAACTACATCGGCTAAAATCAAACAAACATTTTATTTGTAAAACCCGCATCAAAATACTTTCATATAAACAATCTGAACATAAAATATATATTTTAATGTTTATGTGGAAAAGAGCTGTAAAATTTCAGATATTTAGATTTTGAGGTTTCTCGGTTATCTGTACAAGAGTTCAGCGACAATAACAAAAATATTTCTAGCTTCTTAATGTATGTATAATTTTTCCACAAAGTCCAATGTAGCTATTAAAATAAGCAATGATTTATAGGATGAAGTATATCAGTAGATATATCTAACAGTTCTAGTATACATCTAGATTTAATCATACGTCATGCTGAAGAATATTCATAATTTATGATAAAATATTTCCAAGAAAACTTTTTGAAAATACCTAAGTTGTTAGAAACCTAAAATTCCATATGATGATTAAATTCAGTGACTATTAAAAGAAAATAATAATGTTTTACGTGGATCAATATGGTATAGATACTAATCGAAATTTTTATTTTTAAATGGGCTGAATAAATTAAAATTCTCATTTAAAAATTTAAGAAAAGAAAAGTTTTTTCTTTAAAATGAAAATAATAACAGTTACATATTTACAAGATGACAAACCTTTTAATTGTCCAATCCAGGTATCTTTTAACAGTTGCAGAAATGGTTAAATGAGCAAAAATGTGCAGATCCTTAACATAACCATAAAAAATCCATGATTGTCAAACTTCTCGGGGGCCAAGTAATTGGGCCACAAGTATGCACTTCGAACATTTGTGTTAAAATTTAAATTTGCCTTTTATTTTTTAATGCAATAATTATCGCGACAATGGACGTTACCGTTAACGTATGTGTCGCCCCAGCATTAAAAATAATAAATTAAATTACGCAGTAAAATGAATAGCCACACTTGTGTTTGATGTCTAATCAATAAATAACGCGTGATTTGAGAAAATAATTTCATCACGGAGATTGAGGCCACTTTACAGTTGTATTATATGAGCGTCAATTATTATTTTATGCTTTTTGTCTAGGATCCGTTTGAAACACTTCCAAAAACTCATTTTTCCGTTAGACCACTCTATTTTATGCAACTGTATTAAATCATACTCGAAGCTCTAATGCGTTACAATAGACAATGCCTGTCTGTTTGGAAATGAAAGAGAGTAAAAAACCCCGAGATAAGAACCGGCCATGGGCGTGGTAATATTTCGTTTCAGATAACTATCAGATAACACTAATGCTAACAAAAATGACAGGGATTGGAAAATCGACTATCTACAGACTTTTAAAGGAAACAAAAAATGAACAAGATACTGTAAATCCCCCAAAATCATCTACAGGGAGGTCAAAAGTCGTTATAGATGATTTCTTCAAAAATGTCATTCGCAGAAAAGTACACTCATTTTATTTTAAAAAAAGAAATACCAACGCTAAACAAAATTTTAAGTGAACTTTCAGAGGACAACGATTTGCCAAAAATCAGTAGAAGCAAATTATGGGCCGTCTTACGAGAGTTGAATTTTTGCTGGGAAAAGCAGAACAGGAAGTCAGTTCTTATCGATAAAGATGAAATTATTTGTTGGCGAAGATCCTACTTAAGATCAATTAGAAAATTCCGTGACGAAGGGAGGAATATTTATTATCTAGACGAAACTTGGGTCAACGAGGGATATACTGTAACAAAAGTATGGCAAGATAAAAATGTAAAAAGTTTTCGACAAGCATTTTTGGATGGACTTTCAACAGGGTTCAAGGCACCTTCAGGTAAAGGGCGAAGATTAATAGTGACACATATAGGTAGTGCCAGTGGTTTTGTAGATGGCGGTTTACTTTTATTTGAATCTAAAAATACAGGTGACTATCACGAAGACATGAACGCAGATGTTTTCGAAGAGTATTTTACACAGATGTTGGATCTTATTCCTCCGGGGTCTGTAATTGTCATGGATAATGCCAGTTACCATTCACGGCAGACCGAGCGGACGCCTACGACTGCTTGGAGGAAAGCCGATATAATTCAATGGTTATCCGGAAAAAACATTTCTTTTGAAACAAATATGGTGAAAAAGGAACTTTTGACACTTGTCAATCTTAATAAAGATCAGAAAAAATATGTTATCGATGAAATGGCAACAAATCGCCAAATAACGGTACTACGGTTACCACCTTATCACTGTGAACTTAACCCAATCGAATTAGTCTGGGCGCAGGTAAAAGGAGATGTAGCGCGAAATAATACGACGTTTAAATTAAGTGACGTGAAAATTTTGTTAAAAAATTCCTTGGAACGAGTAACTGCAGATAACTGGCAAAGATGTATACATCATGTACAAAAAGAAGAGGAGAAAATGTGGGAACTCGATAATTTAATTGACGTTACTGTGGAACCTATCGTTATCAATCTAGGAGACGAAGATAATTCATCAGAATATTCAGAGGATGAATTTTAATATACCTACTTTTTTATTTTCTTTATTGTACATTTATACAACACTACATTTACTCACCATAATTTGAATTTTCAAAATACATATATTTTTGTGTGGAATAAAAGTCTATTCATTAAATTTAAATAAATATTTTGATAATAATATTGAATAATTTTATTTGAATTACTAAAAACCCTCTTAACCCGGTTATGATGCTTAAAGTAGCCTCATGTTTTGAAATGCTGTTTTTATATTGTTTACTTATAAGAGAAATGGACCGAGAAATTGAAGCGGCATAGACAAAGACGGATTGTCGGGGATTAAATTTTAGCTACCTGCTACAATTTAGTACAACCCGGTCACACAAAGTTTTTTTAAAAGTACACCTCATCATTCAAATATTGAATATAAGCACCAGTACTACATTTATTTACGATTTACATACATAATAAGCTTTTATTACTCTCTTTCATTTATAAACAGACTATAGTGCAGCCACATCAATGCGATAAATGATGCGCAAATCGATTTGATATTTCAAAAAAGACCGCCATTTGTGTTATCGCCTAACGTCTAACGCCGTTAATAATGACGATGACGAATTAACGGCATTAGACGTAACTATGGCCTCAGCATTAAAAACATATATTTCTTTTAAAAGTAAAATTATTGCTAAGTTTAATGGAAACTTAAAATTCGTACCTAGGTATATAGATTTTTGTCGACATTAAAAAAAAAACTGTTTTAATTTCTCATCTCCTCAAAGCAGATGTAGGTATTTACTTACTTATTAGATATTATTAATGTTGA